GTAGCCCAGCGCAGCTCAGTCTGCAAGCAACGAATTAGTAGCTTATGTGACGGCATCCTTCCTAAAAACAATAACAAAATAACAGAAATAACGAATACAGTACTACTAATACGATAGTATCAATCAGGTTAGATAGAAATTACACAATTATTAAATACAAGTTAATACGAAAAAACACAAATCAAATTAGCACGTAACAACCCTAGTACGATCAAATCAAGTTAAATTCAAATTGCGCAAATACAATTACTACTCTTTAGTTCAGATACAAATTACAATATAAACGAAGATACACATCACGGTCGATCAACAAAAACTGCCTAGCTCGAAAATCGACCCTTTGATAAGTAATCCACTACAACTATCCGACAACGATAATTAACCGATTACGTAAAAATAACCATCTACCTACATGACGTATATCTCTAGAAAAACTCCCGCTTGCGCAACCTTGGGCGCGGCTTTTCAAACTTCCTACTAACCAAAAAAAAAAAGCAAGCAACAAACAACAAAGGGAAATAATTCTATTATTACGTACAAAAAATATTTTTACGTATTACGGACGGGCGTGATTGTAGATACAAATTAAACCAATCAAACCAACGCTCCCTGCCACCAGAATTGTTTAATGTTTATCAAACACTATGGTCGGGATCGACCGGGAATCGAACCCGGAACCGCGCTCTGCTACCAGTATGTTACGGCCTACGGCTGCTCCCTTAACGGATCCAATCCTCTGGGGCCCATGAGCAGAAGACTTCCCGAGCAAACGTAGGTCGGGCCTCAATGTGGCCACGTGGAAATTCTCTAATTACACTAAATATACGGGGGAGTGTTCACTATGATAAAGGCACTCACCTACTCCAGGAGCGGAGACGGTTCTCCAAGACCGGCCCGGCTGATGACAGTGTCGTGAGTGTATGTGTGATTGTATGTACGTGTATGTTGACGTGGCCTGATCTGGATGACGCAATGCCGTCCGGGAGAAGGTATGCGCTGGTATCCTCGGAACTTTCCCCCTCTGGAGGCACTCTTCCTGGTTTGTCACGAAATGGGACAGCTACACGTAGTACTTCAGAGGTAAATCACTATTATAGTTGCACAATTAATTTAACAGAGTTATTAAGTCCTAATGAACGATACGGGTTCTCACAACGATTTACGAGGGTTGATACTTTCGTAACAAGTTAGGCGCGGAAAACGGACGTCAGTATAGCTCGCAAGGAATTCTACAATGACTCTCGAGAAGTCCGATCCCGCCGCGCAATGCGGCCGGGGGAGGGGAAGTTGACCTCGATATCGAGGCTAAGCGCGCGCGTTAAAGAACACGTTTCGAAGGTATAATATTCTTGCCTAAACAGTCGTGTTTACGTTAAAGATGCCACATGCAAAGTTATAAAGATCGCCACAGTAAAATTATTGCTGCGTTCACGGAAGTTGAAAGTGCTCAAAAACAGGTAATAAGTGTAAAAAATATTTTAAAAAAACGTGCTCGTACGGCCCGATGTACGTGATGGCACGGCCTGTCTGTTCGACCGTTCGGCAGTCTTCGGAAGCCCTAGGCTGAGTGGGCACAACTGATTCTGTTTTTCTCGCCTCGACAGTCGATCCCATCGTCCGACGCCGTCAAGCTACTCGTTGGCGCTCCGATCCGCTACTTTGAATTTACGTTGTGAATAAACGGTTATTTAATATGTGGTGTGTTCGTTATTCACATCTCCACAACAGAAACAGATTCCATTTTTAGGTGCCAATAATCAGATATTGGGACTACTTGCGTAATTTAGTTGTAACAGGCCTGTCTCACTCCGCGCTTTAGGCATTAAAATATACCTACGCTACGCGACCGCCTACAAGACTAATTCAGTGAGGTTTTCATGCGCGCGCTCGATTTAACAAGCACCTTACGTTAATAATAAAGTTTTTTTTTTTCTTATAAGTATTTTAGGCACTTTTGATATTTATTTTTGAGTTTTTATTCAAGTATGGCTACTCAAACAGCCCAAAGGTACTGCATAGCATACGAGTGCTTAAATAACAATAGGAATGTTGACTTTTCATTCTTTACTGGACTAGTTAGTGAACTAAGGATATCGAAAGGTAATATATTACTATTTATAGGTAGATCTCGATAATTAGGTACTTAGTTAATGACGCCATAATTACAGATTTATTATTTGATTAGCGATCCGACCACAGCTACGCAGTTTTCGATATTTTCGCGTATAATGTCAATGAATTTAAATTTTCCGTTTAAGTAGACCTACCAGTACTAGGGACTGCCTACTAATGCAAGAACAGATTATTCTGGTAATTAGTTAAGTAATTACTTGATCGATAAAAGAAAGGGATTGAAAATAGCAGCACTTCTCATTGCCACTCTTTCATTAATCGGCATTACTAATGAATCGCATGTCACATGTTTGCAAATAGCAAAAAATGTGAAACAGACAAGTGACGGCTCCGTAGCGCAGTAGCTTATCAATGAGTTGCAGCGCTAAGGGCCGTGGGTTAGATAACCTCGCAGAACAATTCTTTGTATGGTCCAAAATAATTGTTCTGGATCTGGATGTTTGTCCTTGTGAAATCTATGTATGTAAACTGCCCCCAGTGATACAGGAGAAAATTCTAGTGGTAGAGGTAACATTTTTTAAAAAAGAGAGGAAGAAAGACAAGTAATGATATCAAAAATTTTGTACAGCCGACAAAGTTGAGGTGTTACCTCAACTTTTTCTCCGAGGTCGGCACGTAAAAAAAAATCTGTTGAGTTGAGTACCTCCTCATTTTTTGAAGTCGGTGAAAATGGTAAGTGGATAAATTATCTGAGTTTCAAAGATGTTCACGTTCTTATAATCTTATTTTTCTTGATATTGCATATTAACCTTGCTCACATTGAACAATAATGTTCTTATTATCAGCAAATTCCTAATACATTGCATAACACCTCGGTGTATTCTACTACCCTCAGAATATTAATAAGCAAGCTATGCTTATAAATACTTTAAGCTACTACCAACTAATATCAATTGATTCAATTTGTTTGCTCATAACACCCAACCCTACAGTAGGAGCAGCCTCATCAAAAGCGCGTAACGGGCTAAGTGATACAGACTTTCGCACGCGGACCTAAATTGCATTTTGATTTAATACGTGCGAGTCCTTAATTTTTTCGACGATTGAATCGGTAGGATAATTTAACGAAGGCCGCTTCCGAGGCGTGCAAAGTGTTATGAACATTAGCGACGTTGTAACTAGGTTTAAACTCGCAAATTTGCTATCAGAGAGTGATCCTTCTGCTCTTGTACTATTATTTATTCTGTGGTCGTAAATGGTTTATTCCAATTTTTAAATACGCCTTAATAGGGACAGTCGACATTTACGTCGTTGATAAGCCAAAATATATTATTTAATTTGATTTATTATGACGATCCTAAGCCCGATAAAAGTGTAAAGGGAAAATTGGAAACATAATTCGCGTCATATAGCTATTACCTTAACATTAGTAGTACGCATGTCACTAGGAAAGTAAACAGTAGGCAAAAACTTGCGAAACGAAAACGTGAATTGAATCACACACATAGGAGCGCGCGTAACAGTAATTGTTGCCCATAAATCACATTCAATTTGGGATAATGTCAAATAAAAGTAGAAGCCTTATTTAATCGTGTTTTCAAAAAATGTAATATCAGTATATAATTATTTATTTATATGAATTTCAATATTAAATTTGGCCACTCTTTGAAAAATAACCCCATAATACGCGATAAAATCCGTAAAATCTGGTTTTATTTAAATGTTCGCGTAAACATAAGAAATCTTTAACACCGACATCACTCGGTACTCGGCATTACTCGACTTCAAAGACTTCTATGTATAATATTAAAAGTTCTGCAACCTTATCCATTTCACAATAAGTTGCGCTCAATTCTCCGTAACTCGTTTAGTCAAATGCGAGCGGGCGAAAAGGCTATACTGCGCAAAAAAAACAACACCTACTTCATTCGGTACTCGACCCTACTCAACTTCAAAAACTCCTATGTATACTACTCACTGCTTCGTTGGTCTAGTGGTCGTAAACGTGATTGCTGACCATAAGGTCCCGGTTTCGAATCCAGAGTCGAGCCAAAATCAGTTTTTGAGATTTTTCTGTCAAAAAATTCTCAGTAGCAGCAACCCGGCGTCAGGAAGTTGACGATGTTTCACCCTCTTTCCGCGGTAAACACGTAAAGCCGTTGGTCCTACGCCTGATCTCTTTCTGGTCGTGTCGAATTACCGTTCCATCGGACTATAAAATCAAGTCCTATCGGACTATGAGAGTGAGGGAGTAGAGAGTGCACCTGTGCTTGCGCATACACTTCTGCACTGTAATCCTGTCCTGCACAAATGACTAATCTCCGGAGGGACAAGCCGCTGTGACTGAAATATGATCTAAAGAACATTATGTATACTACTAAAAGTTCTGCGGCCTTAGTACATTGCGCAATACCAAATTTTAAAATACTAACATAACATCTATATCATTACACTGCTGTATATAGGTTTTGTACAGCAATGATAGAAAACACAGTCCTGAGCCACTTATATCTGTCGACTTTATGCATGTTTTACCAAATCGTCACTCCACCTATTGCAGGGGGCCGCCCTACACTTCACTTACCAGTACCCACTCGAGTACCATTCTCCTCCATCGGTTGTCGGTTCTTTGCTTTGTCCAACCGGCCTCTTGCTAATTCAGCTTATAGGTGTGGGGGTGAACAATTGTTAGAATGGACACTCATTTACTCTGAAAACCTGATACATTACTAATTAAATAGCCAGCAGAAGCAAGCCATTCTATTAAAAGGTGGATCCCTCCTAAATGATTAGAGTGGGTTGGGATCAAGCACGGAACAACTAATTGTATGGCCTATAAATACATGTTTCTCAGTCTGGGTGTTTATCCAAATAAAATTTATGAAAAAAAAATAAAGCAAGAAATAAAAATTATAACAAATTCTCACTAGTTTCGTCGTCTGTATCGCCGTTGAGATGCTGCGTAAGATGCTGCCGCAGGAGTGCTTCACTTCCCAACACTAAACCACAAACGCCGCATGAATTCTTCGCAACGCTGCGTACCGGACTCTTTATGTCCGCGTGGGCAGATCGTCTGAGCATAGACAAGTTTCACATGAATCATAATCACAGACGTTGCTTTGCGACAAGAACACGAACATAAATCATGCAGGCAACTTAAAAAAAATTATTAGTAACAAACAAAGAAATTTAAATATATAGGTATACCTATAGAGCGGACATTGGGAACATTTATATACAAAAACTTTCGAGCTAGTGCGCGTGTGGCACCATCTAGCTAAAAATAACAAAACAACGCTAAGCATTTATTAAGACAACCTTTTAGCTATTCCCCAGTAGGTGACGCTAATAAATATAACCTCGTTTTAGGAATGTTAAATCAAAGTATCGATAATGTTGCTGAAGATTACTAAGTTTGAAATGCTTTTCGATATAGGTAATATACTTATTCGATAGGAAATATACATGATTTTTTTATTGTATAAATCTATTTATCATGACTTCCATCACACAAAAAATCATATTAACTTTTTACGCTCTTTCTAATATTTTTAACAGTACAAATTGTTTAAATGTAAGAGATCTATTGCCCTCTCCTATCACTGTAAGCGAGGATCTATAATGGCTTTGTCCTTAAAACCACCAGACAATGAAGCCTGGTATGTAAAAGAGAAGACTTGCTGTATGCTAAACATCAACACAGCAAGTATCCTCAGCATGCTCATAAGCAACACAGAAAATCTCATCAGCATGCCTTATAAAAATAATTCCCACTCTTGCTCTACATAAAGTAGGGTACTTAGCATAGTTGGTATATGCTACGGTATACGCTATTGGTATGGGTACAGTATCGTTGACTGTTTTACCTCCTTAACCACTCAACCGTCCACCCCGCGCGAGTGATTCTCGCCTGACCTGTCTGCGAATTAAATGTCACTATTTTTTACGACCGCGCGAGACAGTCTTAACAAAAACGATTACTTCTGAAAAACTACTATAGCTACATTCAAATAAAAAATATTCTCAAAAGACTCAAAGAATCCAAAAATTTATTTTGTTAAAAGAAAATTAGTCAAATTAAAAATAAAGCCTGAAAATAAAGCTTAAAAATGGGAATATCAAAAAAAATCGTATTTATTTTGTATTTCGAGTTTTACAAGAAAATTTTTATAAAATGACACCAATATCAATAACATCTAATATACTCAATATACATAAGTATATAATGTTTATCCGATATAAATTTTAATAAATAAGTAAATAAAGGAAAAAAATAGTTTTTAATAATTTCTAGACACATCTCCACAGATATTTCGTTTATAAATTGCTATCAACATGTTAATAGCGAATCATTATTTTATATTTTGCATTCATTTAACACGAAAAACTGATTAGAATACATTTTAAACAACATATAATCAATAAACGATGATCGCGTATAGTGATTAAAATTTAGAGCTAAATTATTATATGTAAACGTTTTGGAATTGTCGTAATGATACATATTTAATTTAATTTTAACTTTTTTTTTCCTAAATATTTTGTATTATACAGATAAAATTCACTTTCACAGACGACAAATTTCATATAGCACCATCTATAATTTTTTACTGTATTAATAACAGCTATCTTTTGCGCTGTACGCGTTTAAACCGAAAGATGTCATTTGGTGCCTAGACACGTGAGGCAATAATGGTTTTTGGGGACTGTAGTCACCGTGGACGGTTGTGGTTAAATATTGTAAAGGATTAAATAGGCATGCTGTATATTTTTTTATCGATAATCACAACCGATAAAAGTCGTCAATCACTAACTTTAAAATTGGTAACTAAATAGTGACGATTACTGGATAACAGAGGGCGCTTATTACAATAAAAATAAATGTTGTAGAAAAATCTACTAGAAATAATAAAATTTAAAGATTATTCGGTAAATAAAATATATGTTATATTTACGATAGTAAACCGAAATCACGTTCATTTTTTGCTCCATATCGTGACTTACAATATATTAATGCACAACCGGGTATATTTTATTTAATAATATTTTTTAAATATATGAAACGAATGCGTCTTGACTTTTCGACGATGTCACTAAGACTAAATGACAAAAATCGGAGATATATCCTATAGGACATAAGTTACAGACGACAATTTTGCTGCTGATGTTCGGTCTATTACTACTACTACTTAAATGTCTTTGGTAACAAACAAATCCACCCGATGGCGGGAAGGTACCACATCCCATGGACACCTGCAACCATGTTTAAATTAAGGGCACAAATGTGTTATCACCGATGAGAGCTAAGATGGGATGCCTATCAAACTGTAATTATACTGACTTTTTTTAAAGAATAAGGGTGAGAAACAGACTAAGTGTTCACCTGATGGTAAGTGGATGACGCTGTGACCCCTAGACCTTCTGTCTTCGATTAAGAATTAAAAAATAGATGCATCGTCACTTCCTCAGGACTAAGATGGAATCCCTCATTTCCAGTAAAAAGGTTTTTTGTTTCTCTACGCTCATCATAGGGTTCTACCCCGGTCAAACCGACCCATTCGTGCTACAAACATAATATAGCTACAGCATGGCTCTACCACGTGTAGTGACTCCCACGCTGCACAGCAGTTGGTCAACCAAATCAGATTTGTAATCGAATTGATACTATGGTATCAATTCGATTACAAATCTGAAAAACTTCGTAGACATTTCGAAGATGAGGAATCTTATCTCCTCACGTTTAAAAATCCGTCAAGATATTTAGACTGCTAGAGATCACAAAGGAGTAGACAAAGAAACAATCAAACATAAATACATAATTTTTCTTCTTAGCCGTTACACATTCAGTAGAGTAGTTGTGACAGGTTAATGTCAGGTTGGCAGCCCTTAAATTTTCCCTTCTACTCTTACAATTCCCCTCTAACTCTTCTTAGCACATACGTTTTGGGATGATGTGTTGCAGCTTTAATTTGGCCATCACATCCATACAAACACATAACCCTTCTTTTGGGCTGTCAGGTAATAATTTCAAGACGCCAAGAGGTAAACCTTTAGTTGTGGACTTACGATTGACAATCATAATTTTTGTTGCTTTTTTATCATAGGTGTGAAGAATAAATTTAGGTTGACTGCAATATATTTAACAATATGTACATACATACATACATTTACTATCACGCTTTCATCCAGAAGGGGGTGGGCAGAGACTACGAACTTCCATTTTGCATGATCCTGTTGCTACCTCTCTCAATCACTTTCACAATCTTACATCTACATATACTTAACTTGGCTCATCTTAAATATATCGCCAATTTAGTCTATAACTTCCGTCTGCGGCGTCTCATGCCAACTCTGCCACTCATAAATTTGCTTTGTCACACTTTCTGCATTCATTATTTATTTGTGTCCAAACCACAAAATATTTCTTTTTTAATCTGTGTAGTCTCAGAGATCTACAACAGGTTCGCACTTTGTGCACTTCTCAGAAAAGTTCTTATTTAAATGTTATTTAAAAGAATTATACAAATAAAATTAGTATACAATTAGTCTAGTTACTAAATTATGCTTCCATAAATTAAGAGAATTTACTTCAAATGACGACCTATCGCCATTACGCGTCGCATTTACCTCAGTCTATTTCACCGCGCGGGTGCAACAGGTTAAGCAATCACATTATACATAAACCATTCTTTTCAAATTTCTCACCCTATAATTTAGTGTCAGCCCGAGGTTAGAAGTATGTTACTTCTTCTTGAACATATTTTATGTACATGTATAAAATTAATAATGTGGTATACCTTCGAATACATATTATTAAAAAATATAGTGAATTTTCTTTATTATTAAAGATAATTCACAATATTTTTAATAATAATGTATTGCCGTGTCAAAAAGCAATTAGGAACACAAAAAGCAACTGATATAGGAAAAGTCAGGATCAGTAGGGGTATACAATCACGTACATGCCAGGTATAAAATATCCAAACTGGTCAAAAATGCAGAATATCTGGTATTACGAATGCCAATCCGCATGCTAATAGTGGCGATTATCCATCAATGAGTAGACAGTGTTAATAAAGAAAAAGAAAAAAATATACCTATGACTATACATGTGGTTTCTTTGCTGGAATCTCTCGCCACACACTGTGCAATCGTAAGAATTTTCCATCGGACGGCCTGTCAAATGTCGCTTTCGATGCTGGTTGAGATTAGTTACCTGTAAAAAGGATAGGATAATAACTAATAATAACAAATAGCGACAAGCTTATTGGTTGGAACGGTAATTAATAAAACCCGACTCCGTTAACAGGTTTACTAAAAAAACCTTCCCCTCCCTTTTTTGTAGTTGCAGATGCAATATGTAAATATTATTGGACACCTCATATGTTAAAATCCATATCCATATCATGTACATGCATACATACACATATACATACTCTCGAAAAACATTACCTCCTTCTGTGGCAGTCGCGTAATGAAATACAGATTATTGCTTCCACCTTACGATGGATTCTTTAATGCCTCCAACTTATGGTGGAGACATTAGAGAATCAACAACATCTTATCGCGTGGGTGTTATAAACGTAAACAAGTAAACAAGAGAGTTACACTGCCATCTAGCGGGAACTATGCGATCTTTCTGGTATTTCCTAGTTGCCTCTTAGTGCACTGATACGTTCATAGTATCAGCCGTTGTTGTTAGTCGACTTTAAAATATAGGCGATAAGCACTGCTTAAAGAGCAATGGCAGAAAAATAGTTGACAAAAATGATCGCGTCTAGAAATAAGTTATATATAAAATGAGTTTTATTATTTTTCTATGATTTTTCAAATAAAAATGTATTTTAATTAAAGCCACAGAAAAAAACCAAACATTTTTGGGAATATCAAATGACTTAAATCATTTTACTCTGTTCAAGTGTTGCCATTTAGTATATTCATACTATTTTCGTATATACTTTGTAAGACTATCAACACAACACACAAAATATTTTTATATCAAGTTATTATTAGTAATAACTGTACTATGAGTAATATTAAAAATAAAAGAGATATGGCTGAGAATAAGTCTCTTACAAAGAATTTCCTACAATAATACATTATCTCAATCATAGTACTATGTAACAATTCCATTTAATGTTATGCCAACACTAGCTAAAACAAAATGTCACTGTTTTTTTACTGGCTTTACGGCTCTGGGTTCTAGCCCTTCTGAGAATGTCACTATGATACAAAGGCCCTGGAGCCATGCCAGAAATATACATTTATAGTATGCAAATATATAGTAGAGATACAATAATCTAAAAACTCTCAATTATGTATTATGTATTAAGCTAACATCAAACAATCACAGGAAGCATGACTTTTTCCAAGTGACATAAGACATAACCTAAAAAGGTTCAAATGTAAATATCTTTTTTTTGACGCCTTCTCAGGACCAAATTCTTTGACAGAGTTATTAAGGGACTGACGCTTAACATTTTAAGATATTTTTGGTATATAGACGCTACCATTTCTTCTCAACTAAATTTATGTATGAAAGTCTGCCATTGCTCTTTCTTAGTATGCGAAACCGAATTCTAGCTCCGTCGACGCCAGTGAAATTGTTAGGTGGAATTTGTAGTGCTCATTTACCACGTGCTTGGCAGTGAAGAAAAACATTGCATCGTGAGCAAACCTTTAGAAATTAGAAAATAATATAAATTAGCATGCAAATATACAATTGTGTATATTAACTAGTTTAAAGAGCATCTCTCTTCTCTCCCACAATGAAAGCGAACAATCTTACGTTCGCCAAATATCGCTATTAGGGACTAAAGTGAATTTATTTGATACGCTGATGTTCACACAGTGCCATCATCATTGAAAAGTTGAGTTTTAAATAAGTTTTTCGATTTCTAGAGTATGTATGTACACAAAACAATGTGTCAATGCTGTATTCTTAAATTTCTAAATATAAAAAACATATTTAACTTTTTTCATCTATTTCTAATTTATTTCGAAACATAACATTCTATTTCTAAAGATAATTAAAAAAATAACTAATATTTCAGAAAGAAACATTAATTTCCATATCAGGGGTCACCAAACGGCGGACCGCCGAGCTATTTTGTGCGGACCCAAAAGGATCGAAGAATAATTAACTTAATTTGCCCCACTATGAAATCCGTCAAGTATTTCACCTCATTCCTAAGTGGCGCTAATAGAGAATATCCACCACAGTCAACAATACACCAATTTTGCCTCTAAACGAAACACATTGACCATGATGGACGAATTCTAGCGATCACGATCGTGTAGAGGGCATAATCGCCTATAACTGTCCATGATCGGTGATGATCGAGCGTAATGTCTGCTGTGTCGGTTTTCTGGACAATCATCAAAGGAAGTTCGGCCATGATCGTGCGCGAGTCTACATGATCGCCGATGCTCTATAAACTTACCTTGTTTTATTTCGGTGTATACTTAGCATCCACATTTTTGCTTCCTTTTTTTCCCCCAGTCATTATAGGTGTACATTTAAATAATGGTTATACATATAAACTAATTAGGTAAATAAATACCAGCAGCTGCAACTGTTTCAACGTTCATCTCTGACAGATGACAATACAAAAATTTTGGATTGACGATTGTGTGGGCAGGCAATGATTGTGACAAACATGCCCCATTCTGTGGTTGTCAATCATGGCCGATGGTATATAGGCGGGGTAATAATAGGAGCCATTTGCGACGTTTTAGAGACGGAATACAATAAATAACGCGTAGTAATACCTGAATAACTAAATATTTAAGTACCTGTGCGTAGGCTTTATCACAGCCGGGTTCCGGGCACACGTACGGACGCTCTCCAGTGTGTAAGCGAACGTGGTTGTTTAAATTCGTCACCTATACAAAAATGATACTTTAAAATAAGCAAGAAAGGCAGACGTCTCAATCGATTGAAAAAATATAATATTATTTTTATACTGTAGTATTGTAGTAGAAATAAATATTTTTTAATTGTTTTACTAGCAGGCTCGGCAAACGTTCTGCCCGTTCAGCCCGGCAGTTGGTGCGATCAAGATTACTCCAAACTCAATCTGAACTGTTTAGTGTATATTATATAACATTTATTAATAACTCTAATATAGCGCTACCTACGGTATCCATATTTTGTGATTTTTGGCACTAAACCAAACCAACATGCATATTGTAAATGTTACGGACAGCGAGTGACCCGCACGTCCCGCACGTCTCACACACCGCAACACAATCACACGATGCAAGCCCACGTGGGAGACCACCAATTGCGAGACCTTCGTCGCGGGAATATAACAAGAGCATCTGGCTGCCGAATTCATTCGATTCATTCGCGGCAAAGAAGAGCTCTACTCAAGAAAGAAGAAATAATCAAATAAAAAAGTGCCTCCAGTGTAAATAGTGCTCCCTATAGTTTACTATAGAGTTTGTTAGTGTGAATAATATTGTACTGCCGCAATCTTTACAAATAGTGAATAAAGTGTTTCTTAAGTTGTCCCATCTTTTTTTAATAGAACAGTCACAACATACGGTCCACAGTTAGGCACTTAGTAAGTCAGTTAATTCTATTAAACTTTTATAGTCCACTTGCTCTCCCCGTCCTTTTCAGTGAATATGATTTATTTCAGTTCGAGAGCAGTACTAAACCAAGATTCCTAGACAGAAATAGAGCTCTACTCTACAACTAAGTCTTCGATAGATAAATAAGAATTGTGTAGCTGTAATGCTCATCATGGTTGGCTTAATTTTGACGTTAGACATTTGAGAGTGTTATCATAATAAAAATGTTTTCATTTTCATCACGCAGTTACGAAGTAATTCCCACCAGCAATGATTCCCATCAAAGTTACACAATTACACTGATAGTGACCTCGCAAAAACATAGTAATAAAAGTAAAAAGAAGAATCAAAAAACAGAAAACATACCTGAGTGAATGCTTTCCCACATTCTGAACACTTATAAGGCCGTTCGTTGGTGTGTATACGTAGATGCGCCCTCAGGTTGTTTGATTGAGAAAATGCTGTTAAAGAAAACATATAATGGTAAATAAAAAAAATTAATACAACATGTCTCCATCATTCCACGCCCTTTTTACTGGAAATGAGGCATTCCATCTTAGTCCTCACGGGTGACAACGCATCTACATTTTGATTTGTAACAGAGGATAGATGTAGATGTCTACGGGCCGCAGCAACCACTTACCATTATACCATGGACTGTGTGCTCGTTTGTCACCCTATCCGATAAAAAAAAATCCATTGACATTACAGCCATTTGTACGCGCCCGTATTGATAGGCAAACACCAAAGCACTAAAAATGTAGAATATTAATAAATAAGGTCAGTTGCGCATAGTGTTTAATTACTAAAATGCCGTCGCTGGAGAATGAACGGTGTTGCACCATACATATAATATACTCATAACTTATTAATCTACGTAGCCTAGTACTCAATGTTTCTTTGCTACTCCACCGCAGGTCCTACAAATTACAATCAGAGTCAAAATTAGAGCTCATGTTGACTAATTAAATCCGGTTGCGTTGTGATTTTATTAATACTAGGAAAGCTGATAACTAAAAATTAAACTTAATATAATTATTGTAATTACAGGTACCTAGTTAATGACGCCAGTATTCGAATGACTGATTCGAACCCAAGACTTATCAAACTTCGAAGTCTACATCCTTTAGGCTAGTAACGCATATTGTCACTGAATATTCCCGTATCGACGACTAATCAGTGATGTAATCGAATAACTGTTATACGATTATGGGTAGATGTGTAAGAACCTCCAAAGGAGGCGGAGTTATAGCTGAAATAAGAATTTTGAATTTTTTGGTTTTTGGCCATTTCGACCCCCTAGGAGTGTAATGAGAACTCTTTGCCCCTATTCAACCATGACATCCTCTAAATGATAGGCTATTTAAAATAACTAGGATTAAAGTTCGAATCACCCTCCCAACTCATTTCTAGTCTTTACTTCCCATTATTGATTATACTATTGAAAAATTGATATGGTTTAATAAAACTTACCTTTATTACAATATGTGCAGACGAAGCGTCTCTCGGCGCGATGATTGCGCAGGTGATTTTGTAGCTGCATACTCTTCTGAAAAGTTTTGTTACAAATACTGCAATATAGTCCAAATTCATTGCTCTCCTGAAAAGTGAAACTATATATATAAAATTATTTATTATAAATAACTATTTATATATTTATACTGACAGCCTCATCGGGTGGTCGTAAGCGCGACTGCGGCTCATGTGGTCCCGAGTTTGAATCCCTGGTCAGGCCAAAATACGTTGTTAGGTTTTTATGTTTATATTGGTCCTATGCCCCTTCTCTCTCCGGTCGTGTTGGATTTCTGTACCATCAGAATATGAAAGCGAGGGAACAGAAAATGCACCTGTGATTGCACACACAATTATACACCTAAAATTCTACCCTGCGCAGATGACTGGTCTCTATAGTGACTGGCTGTCATGGCGAAAATTCGGTCTTAAAGACATTATTATTTACCTATTACCTATTTATTTAAAAACACACCCATCTGTGTTTTCTCCTGTATTGTGAAGTGGTTTAAGCTATTATTTGGACAATTAATTTTGGGTACTAAATATTGTGTCGTGTAGAGTCTACACTCTACACAATATTTAGTAAATGTAGGACTATATAATTATTGCAGGGATCAGAAAACTACTGCTTAGTTTCCTTTTGTTGCTTCTTACTACACACATGGAGTGATATGGGGTAGTTGATTCTATTATGTCGCCACTATTACATTATTCTCTATCCCATAACTTCTTTTTTATTTAATACTAAGGATCTTCCTGATAACATGAAAAAAAAGTTTTTAGAAAACTTTACTTCGCAAATATACGCGTTATAAAATAAAATGATGTATCTTACCTAGTATGAAGAGCACCTCCCGCCCTCCCTCAATTGCGTGCACTACTATCCCCGTCACCACTAATCTCAGCACCGCTACTTCCAACACCACTACACTAGGCAAGACACACCACTGACGACAATACGACACGTGTTTCGCCTCTACACGAGGCATCCTCAGGTGATATAAGACTCTACGGTAGCTAACCGCTAAAATGCGATTAGCCACCGCTAAGATGCGATTAGTGGCGACGGGGATAGTGCACGCAATTGAGGGAGGGCGGGAGGTGCTCTTCATACTAGGTAAGACACATCATTTTATTTTATAACGCGGATATTTGCGAAGTAAATTTTCCTAAAAGCTTTTATATAATGGATTTCCGCAAAGTAACGCCTGATTCTATTAACATGAAAAAATAAAAAACTGCACTTGACAATCCGTCTGTCAAGCATGGCAAGTATGGCCCATATTCCACTTATGAGATGAGGGAGGTTTATGTTCAGCAGTAGTCTTTAATAAGCTGTAGTGATGATGATGTGATGATTGTCTAACAGTCTATACTCTGTTCGCTTAGATACGGACGCCTTGGCACGCGCCGCATCTTTTCAAAGGCGCGGCCGTGACATCAAAGGTCGACGCGTGCGGCGTACACCCACAGGAGAATTGGGCACTTTAAAACAAGAGGCCGTAGTGAAAAGTTCTATGCTACCTAACTAGTGTTTATTATTTATATTTGCATTTTATTACAATAACCATAAGAATAAAATAGTATTCTATTTTATTTTTAGTATAGAAAATCATTTGTTTAACAAACACAGTAAAAAATAAATTAAAAGCAAAATAATAACTGCCCCTTCTGGGTGTAGCGACACTATCTTAGCGAACAGACTATACTGCTGCCTAGGGCCCTTTATTGTAGTGAGGAAACTTAAGAATATGGTTGATTTGACTTTTAATTTTTATATCAACTGACAACTAAACAAAACAGTCAAGGAATTGCGGTAGTTAAATGCAGAAGCTTCAAGAGTGTGATTTGTGTTCCTGTGTTGGGCGTGTTGATGACATGTGACAAGGATCTTTCCCAGAAAGCTACAAACTACAATTACTGAAAGATTTGCCCGTACTTACCACAGGGTAATTTTTTTTAAATAAAAAGTAAAAGATGTAAGTAAAGGTTGGTCAAATGTCATTTTTAAAAAACGAAATAAATCTGCTATCATAGTCACTTTGGATTAAAGCGATAGAGACAGCACAGGACTTAATGGCATCTTAAAATTTTGTAGTATTTGGACAAAATGCTGTGTAACTTTGTTTTGATCAAACCTATTTCTAAATGATATTGGTTGCTTACTCTAATGTATAAGCATGCTTCATGCTCAAATTTATTTTTCATCTCTGTTTGAATTCACATCATGCTCAGCTGCTGGTGAAATTTCAAAGTGTTTTGATTTTATATTTTTTTATTAAAAACTTACACATAATGTGGGTATTATTAGAAATGCACATGTACATATTAGAAATATATAAATTTGTCAAACAACATGCAGAGTTATTTAAGTCAGCTTGTGATATATATCCACAAAGCACTAGAGATAGTAAACGGCTTGTCTTAGACCATAAACCAAAAACTTCTATCAGAAAGGTTATTATATTGTATAAAGGTTACTGTATGTGTGTAAAAATATTTAATAAAATTTCAAAACAGTTCAAACACTGCTCTATGATTCTCATGACCAAAAAGTTACGTGAATGGCTAATAAGAAAATGTTATTATAGTGTTAAGGAATTTCAAAATGATAATAATATGCATGTTGATATATGATAGACGTAATTGCTGTGTGTCACTGCGTATCACTATTTTATCAGACCTTTATTTTTGATTGAATGTATTTAAATTTTAATTATGATATTGACATAGTAAATTATGACATTTTGAATTATATAACTTATATTTAATACCTTGATATTTTAGAATCGACTACCACCTATATTATTTGGTAATTTAAAAAAAAAGTTTGCATGCCGTATCTCATGGCTAAATAGGTCTTTAAGCAACTTATTTTTATTGTAAAAACCTATCACTTACCCTATTTATGGCAATTAAAGAAATATGAATTTCAATTTGAATTTAAACTACTGTTTAACAAATTTATATTATTTCATCCATTCCATTTATTACAGAATATAAGTCTACTGCTGACCTTAGAACTCTCCCATAGATAGCCTCATAGGGATGATTTTGCCATAATTGCCACTCTTAGCCAGGCAGGATGCCAACCGCAGATTTTATTATTTTAAGTTGTTATCAAAAAGATGCTGCTACCCATCTTCTGTCTGTCTGTCTTTTAGTTTCCCTCTATCGCCTCTACTTTTTGCATGTGCAACCGCTGAGTTATATATTCTACTGGCCCCTATGTAGCATTGAACCTCTGAGAGGTTGTATAAAAACAAATCATTACTGACCAAATCAGGATTGTGTTCACAAATTTTCCTGTTTTATATAGTTTTACTGAAGTTGTTAGTTATAGTGTAAGTAATTTTAAATACCTCTTCAGTGTTAGAAGACCTTGGTTCTGTTGCTTCTGTTGGGTTATCTCCTATAGTAACTTCTGGTACAAGAGGCTGGCACTTGAAGCAAGCATAAACACCATCTTTCCCAGTTTCAAATAATTGCTAAAGCAAAACGTAAAATGTTTTAAATTTATATGAATCAAATTTCAATACAAAGAAATATATGTGTATACTATAAATTTTAGTAAATACTATTAGCAAAAATAAAAAGCTTATTAAAAATATTTGAAATGATAAGATTTAAAAAAAACGAACATGTATTTATAAAAACAAACGTTGCTTTATAATAAGAAACAGTTCTCTTCAAACCGAAAAAAAAACGAATGTTTTACATAGCTCAGAGCAGACGTAAAAAAAACAGCCCGAGACGAAAGAACATAAAAAAATAAGGCGGGCAGGTTTCGAACTCAAGTTTTTTTATTATTATTGGTACAAGCTTCAAACAACGCTACTTTGTATTTTGTTTTAATAATGCTAAGCTTATAATATTAAATTGGCAAAAGGAAAGGTTTTCTAAAATCAAATAATGTTATTTTTATAACAATCTCGTAAAGAAAACAAAAAATATTGACGATGTTCAACAATACAATAACAATAAATTACGCCTTTATCTACTTACAACAGCTGGCTTGAGGCAGATTCCGCATTTATCCATAATGAAACGTTTATAACTCAATTATATATTATAAACAAATAAAATTTCGTAAAAATATGATATTTTCCTCATTATACGATAGATAAACCATCAAAAAAAAGAAGCGGGGTGGGGCACAGTGAAATCGGGGCGGGAGGGAGGAGTGTTAACCATAGACTATCCGTCGCTGCGAAGATTTTTTTTATTATTTATTAAGATTTTGGCTTGAATACTTGTTTTTTAAGCCATGTTTTCATTTCTCTATAAAGATAGTAATCCTTTATAGTACACTGCTTCACAATATGTTGATGTGGCACATAGTTTTTTGAATATAAGTGCGCATAGATTTTTGAAAATTTTGACGGCAACTTGAGGTAGCAGACAGTTGGCGATAGTATCTAAAGGCGTCTAAGCAGTATGATACCTTATCTTGAGATACACATCACCATCAGAACATTTATTTCAACGTTTCTACTAATAATTCACATACGCACACATTCAATACACAAAACCGCACCACTTTTATATATCAAAATCCACTACAATCCATTATTTTTATAATTATACATAAATTTTTTAATTCTAAAATTTTTAAGTACATTAGTAGTGGCAATGTCAGTGAATCCGAATTATTCAAGTGGAATCTAATAAGTAGATATCATCATCATCATCATCATCATTACAGCCCTTCACAAGTCCACTGCTGAACATAGGCCCATAAGTAGATAACTCAGTTGTAAATTATTTATTTGTTTATATTTAAGTATTTTTGTGCGAAATCGTATAAATGTCCTTATATAATTATAATTTTGAGTTACAAAACCCAAATTCCTTGAGTGAGCGCCTAACAATTTCGGGATGAGATCAATCCCCAAGGCCCCTCACATATATATATGTCAATGCCACTATCCCATATCAATCCTTGGATACCGTTAAAGACGACAAAGGGACATGAAATAGGAATTATGCAACTGCATCTTCTAGATAACGATCCAAAATAATAAAAAAACTGTGGTTGTTGACGTCCATAGATATCGCGCTCTGCTGGGCACGCCAACTCTATGAGGCAGTCTGTTGGTGAGGACTATAAACAGTGGTGAACTTTTGAAATGCTAATGAATGGTGTCTAATTCCCGCACTCAAACTATTTTTTTGATTTTTGCATTAGAAATGTGTACGAGTGTTGGTGTGGGTGTGTGTGTGTGTTTTAGCCATTAGTTTAACCCATTGATTAATACAAAATCAATGGGCTTAATGGGTGAAATGGTTTTGACTAGTCCAAAACATGTATGATATATATTCAATATACATTCAAATGTCACTTTTAATGGTCATTTGCAAATACGTAGCACTATAAAATGCGAGTGGAATGGAACAGGATGGAATGGAAAGAGAAGAACCAGCAAGAATCCCAGCGGGGCTTCATCTACCTAGCTTAGTAGTTCTGGTCTAAAGTTGGAAGAGCACAATAAAAGAAGACCACGGATTATTGTCTTAGGTATACCTGCCGGCCTTAGCGAACGAGAAGTGTTTGATTGCATTTATGAGCAAAATTTAGCCGATAAGCTCCCTAACTAACTCCTAAGGTACCAACCTCTCAAACCATGGGTAACAAAAGGAGTGGTAAGATCTATCAGAAAAAGAGATAAATTACATATGAAAACTAAAAAGTCACCAGATAATGAAGAACTAAAGATTAAATACATAAAATATAGGAATATGTGTAACAATATTATTAAAAATCTAAAGAAAGAATATTATAAATGTAAATTAATAAAAAATCAGGGAAATACAAAAGAAACGTGGAAGATAATAAAAGAAGTGTGCAATTTAAATGTCGCAAAGAGACCTTCTAACAATTTACTAAATATAAGCCAAAACCCTAAACAGTCGCTGAATGAAGTAAATTCATATTTCACCTCTGTCGGTGAAATACTTGCAAAAAATACCCTACAGAAGATGAATACTTCTGATTGTGAACTTGCGGAAAATACAGCTAATCCTCCAGTTGGCTCTATGTTCCTTACACCGACTGATCCGGTTGAGGTCAGAAATATGGACCTCGGACTCAAATTACATAGTGCTCCTGGTTGTGATAATATCACAGCTAAATTACTTAAGAAATTTATAATATTTCTCGCTGATCCTATCGCACATATATATAATTTGAGTCTTGAAACAGGCATTTTTCCTGCAGCTTTCAAAAAAGCTATTGTGTGTCATTTTTATAAAGCAGGTGATCCCCATAATCCTACAAATTATAAACCTATCTCTATCCTTTCTACTTTGTCTAAGGTGTTAGAAAAGTTAGTTAAAAAGAGGCTCATGCGATATCTTGAGCTTGACAACCTACTGAGTGATAATCAATTTGGACTTAGAGAAGGTAAGTCAACCGAAGACGCAGTCCTGACGCTAACTAGAAAAATCTCTACATACCTTGATGGTAGGAGCATGGGTGTATTTCTGGATCTCCAGAAGGCTTTCGATACCGTTTCGATTCCTATCTTATTGACTAAATTGGAGAATGTGGGGATCAGGGGTATAGCTCGTGACTAGTTCGCAGATTATCTAGTCGGAAGATCACAACGTGTACGGGTCGTAGGACATGAGAGTGATAGTGCAGGATGCACCTACGGTGTTCCACAGGGCAGTGTGCTGGGGCCTCCTCTCTTCCTTTTATATATAAATGATCTGTGCAAAATTGATTTTCCTAATCTTGACTTGCTCATGTTTGCAGATACTGATTTACTCGTCCATGATAAAAATTGACAACAAGTGTTGGACCTTACAGAGGATTGTCTCTTTATAGTGACACAATGGCTATAAAATAACTTGTTATCTCTCAATACCAACAAAACAAAGTTCATGTGCTATAGCATAGCATCAGGAGACCTGACACCGACATTAGAATTAAAATTCACACATATCCATGCAATCGTAACAGTCGTCCTAATGAGTGTGACTGTTCCTTTTTGTCGCGGGTACATTCTATAAAGTATCTTGGGGTCGAAATTGATGATAAAATAAAGTGGAAAATGCATATAATGTCTTTGTCTACAAGATTGAGAAAAACTTATCTATGTTTTTAAAACTCTAAGAACAGTTGTTGACTATAAATTAGCATTACAAACATATAAAGCCCTTGGTGAATGCATTATTAGATACTGTATCTGTGCATGGGGTACCGCAGCAAAATCATATTTGATCACTGTAGAACGTGCACAACGTGCAGTACTGAAAGTGTTATTCGGCTTACCCTACAGGCACCCAACAACAGATGTATATGATAAAGCCAACGTTCTTAGTGTTAGAAAATTATTTGTTTATGAAAGTCTACGAAATTATCACAAAAAAATTGTTCCAATCCTGCCTAAATCATCTACAAGGCTTGATCATTGTCCTATTCCCAAAGTAAAAACAAGATTCGCACAGAAGCAGTTTGATGTTATTGTTCCACACCTCTATAACAGACTTAATAAGAAATATAACATAAAAAACTGCAATAATAACCTTATTGAGAAGCATATATTGTTATGGCTTAAACAATTTGATTATGAAGATGTAGAAAAAATTTTAACTGGTTTTTACTACTGACGCAAACACACATACACACACACACATACACACACACTCAAGCGCACACACACACACACACACACACACACGCGCGCACACACGCGCACACACACGCACACGCACACACACACACACACACACACACGCGCACACACACACACACACACACACACAAACACACACACACATAGATATGCGCTAGTGAGTAGCCCTTTCTTTTTTATTTTGTTTTTCATGTTTTGAGTCGTTGTGTTTAAATAAGTTATAATGTTATGTTAAGACATAAATTAATAATGCCATGTTATGGGACAAGCCACTGGCTCCTGAAACACAGTTTTACACTAGTTTGGGAGCCTATGGATTCAATGAAACATTTACTGTAATACTTTTTTCTCAAAATAAATAAAATTTATTATTATTATTATGGGGTATTTGTATAGTTTTCTCATCTGGTTGGGCTGTATAAATATATAATTGAAAATGAAAATGATAAACTTACATAAATATCAATAAAATAAAATAAATACATAAAAATTACATAAATATATAAAAACCCAACCAGATGGAAGCCCGAAATGGGTAATATCCAGAAGAATTTAGTAGTTTTCACAGGTAGTACTGGCTGTGACAAGTAATACTACCTACAAAAATTTAAAAATAGGACACTCGTTACGTAATGAGGTCACGGTCAAGTCAACACTGTCGGGTGTCAGCCGGCTACAGTCAGGTGAACGTACCCACCGGTGTAATGGAAGGGAAAGGGTGGGGAGACGCATTTGTTTTTATCGAGTCTACCGATTTTTTTCCACCATTCGCTTATGTTATCTATTCTGAACCTCCTCTGCAAATTTGACCGGTTATTGCAAAATAACCCTGTATAGATATCTGGGGCTCATCTTTACAAAAGTAATAGAGATCATCTTAGCACTATAAGAAAGCCATGTTTTCTTTTGAAGCTTTGAAGTGCTTATACAGTAAGTTCCTAATTACATTACCACAATACGAAACCTATCTAAGTAAAAAATACGTAAGAGAGGTTGACGTTATAAAAAAACGTTTCATCACTGTATTGGAAAACTTTTTTTATAAAACAGAAGTGACAAACGAGCTTAAAGTCCACCTAATGGTAAGTGGCTACTGTAGTCCAATCACACCTGCATCCGAATTTATACAAAGAAGGACATTGTAACTTCTAAGCAGGTAAGGGCTGTAACAGGTAAAATTGCATATCTATTCCACCTTTTCCAGTTCCTCATAAATAGTAGTTCCAAAAACCTGTTACAAAATAGCAGTCTGTTACTACAGTCTTGGTAGATACTTCTCTTTCTTACTAATGTGTTGAACCTTTGCGAGAAAATGACATAACTTGTGACAACTGTAACAGGGTGTCACAGTGAAACAGTAACATTTATCTTATTCTAATAAAGAAAACTGTCATATTATGTATGAATAAAGAAAACTTGTGACTGTTGCATAATGAATTTTATTACCTCGCGGAACAGGAGCTGTTCCTTCAGTTTGTCACAGTGACAGGCTGCTATTTTATGATACTTCCATAGGGTACTTCTCTTTCTAATGAAGGTGTTCAACCTATGCGAGAAAAGGAAAGAGCTTGTGACGAGTAACAGGGTGTCACAGTAACGTTTTTTATCTTACTCTAACAAAGGTAGCTGACATATTTATGAATAAAGAAAAACTTGTAACTGTCTTTTAGTGCATTTGTTATCTCGTGGAAAAGGAACAGTTCTTTCAGTTGGTTTGTCACAGTTACAGTCTGCTATTTTTAGATACCTGTATTTTTATCTGTAACGAAAAATACGTCTCATACCTACTTTTGAGTCATCATCATTATCATCATTACAGCCCTTCACAAGTCCACTGCTGAACATAGGCCTCCCCCAAAGAATGCCACAAAGCACTGTCCTGAGTCACCTGCATCCATCGACTTCCTGCATATCTTTCCAGGTCGTCACTCCATCTAGTGGGGGGACGCCCTACACTTCGCCTGCCGGTACGAGGCTGCCACTCGAGAACCTTTCTTCCCCATCGGTTGTCGGTTCTTCGAGCTATATGGCCGGCCCATTGCCACTTCAGCTTACTAATCCGTTGGGCTATGTCGGTCACTCTGGTTCTACTGCGGATATCCTCATTTCTGAGTTTATCACGCAGAGAAACTCCGAGTATAGCCTCTCTACCTACCTACCGGCATAGGTGTGACATGCACATTAAACGTGATCTTTGTATTGTCCATCTTCATCTTAAGACCTATTCGTTGGGAAGCACTATTGAGGTCATTCAGCATAGTGCTTAGGTCCTCCAGCGATTCTGCCATAAGGACTATATCGTTGGCAAATCGAAGGTGAGTGATGTACTCGCCATTGATGTTAATGCCGCATCCTTTCCAGTCCAGAAGCTTGAAAACGTCTTCCAATGCATCGGTGAAGAGTTTCGGGGATATGACGTCACCCTGTCTTACACCTCTCTGCAATTGGATAGGTACTCCGGTTCTGTACTCGGATAGCCATCGTAGCCCTACTGTACAAGCACTTCAGCACTTCGATATACCGACAGTCCACTTGGCACCGCTGAAGGGACTGCAGCACCGCCCAAATTTCGACGGAATCAAAGGCTTTCTCATAGTCAACATACGCCAGACATAGTGGCAAATTGTACTCCTCTGACTTTTGTACAATTTGTCGAAGGGTATGTATGTGGTCTATGGTGCTAAAGCCTTTTCGGAAACCGGCTTGATCGAGAGGCTGGAAGTCGTCAAGTCTGCGCGCGAGACGATACGTAATGACTCTCGAAAACAGCACGTAGACGCGGCTCAGAAGGGAAATCGGTCTGTAGTTCTTCAAGAGAGCGTTGTCGCCTTTCTTGAAGAACAAGACAACCGCACTTCTGCTCCACGCCTCCGGTGTAATGCCACCATGTAGGACGGAATTAAAGAGCTTCTGAAGGACTTCAAGTACCGGTTTTCCACCCGCTTTCAGAAGCTCCGCTGTAATTCCATCCTCGCCTGGGGTCTTGCCGTTCTTAAGATGCTGGAGAGCCATTCTAATTTCTCTCAGACTAACGTCCGGGATATCTTCGGAATAGTGTCGGATAAGACTCGCTCTTGAATCGTTACTCACACTCGCGTGTGGCTCCAACGATGACGTGTACAGCTGCCCATAGAACCTCTCAATCTCACTCAAAATCTCAGGTGCCCCGGAAACTATGCTACCACACTCGGTCTTCAGCTTTGGCAGTTGGCTCTTTCTGGCAGACATCTCTGGCAAAGACTTTGGAGCCTTGGTTCCGCCCGATCGCTTCTTCAATACGAGCTGTATTGAAGTTGCGTAAGTCCTCTCCAACTTAACGTTTATCTTCAGTGTGCCTCTAACCATTCACTGGTTTTCACCCTCGCATTCACTGAGACATCACTGGACATTTGTCGTCTGGTCGTCATAATGAAGTCAATCTCATTTTTTGTCGAACCGTCGGGGCTCAACCAGGTCCACTTCCTGTGGGGCCGCTTCTGGAAGAAAGAGTTTATCATAAAGAGTCCCTTTTCGGCCAGCTGCTGGCCCCTTGGGTTCCGTTGCCCTATTCCAAATTTCCCTACTTTCAGCTCACCGTTCTCTCTTGTGCCTAGTTTTGCATTGAAGTCTCCCATTAACACCGTATGTTGGGTTTTGGAGGAATGCATGGCTCTAGAGATATCCTCATACATTTCCTCCACCTCCTCATCGGGGTGTGCCGAGGTTGGTGCGTAAACCTGTATGACCTCCAGCGAATACCGTTTGGTGATTCTGAGTATAAGGTACGCAACCCTCGTCGACACACTCTCAATCTTTACAACTTTGTTAACGAGAGACTTGTGGACGATAAATCCGACACCTCCTTGGGATCGATGGTCGTTCTCCCAGTACTAGAGCAAGTTGCCGGATTCGAGGATAGCCGTTTCCTCCCCCTCTCTTCGGACTTCGAATAATCCTATAATATGCCAGCGTACCTTGTCTATCTCTTCTTCCAGCTCCACAATCTTCTTGTCAGTCCTCAGGGTGCGTGCGTTGTATGTTGCCAGGTCGAATCGTCGTAGGTGGCAACCGAACCACCACCGGAGATTCTTAGCACTCCCTGCCCCGCCGGTACCATGGTCGCCACCGTAGCCAGGAATAGCGGGGCCGCCGGGAACTGGGGGCCGTCTCTTAGTTACTTTATCCATTTGGGGGATATTTGCCATAGTTGCCACGCTTGGCGAGCGGGTTGGCAACCGCAGTTTTTTTATTGTATTTTTGCTGTTATCAGGAAGATGCTGCTGCCCATCTCCTGCCTGTTTCCCTTTGTCGCCTTTTACGACACCCACCGGAAGATATGGGGTAGTGGATATTCTTAACCGCCACTACACGGAAAAAACTTTTGAGTACTAAGATCTAATGCCTTACAACCCGTAATTATACTGGCTCTATATACCCTTCAGATTGGAACACAGCAGTATAATCACTGTTATTTAACGGCAGAAATAGATAAGGGGATGGTATCTAACGAAAGGGAATCAATGGAGTCCTACTACCAAGGAAAACGATTTTAAGTTACCGAACTTAAATGACTACGGTAATTTGCGGTATAAGAATATCCACCACCCATATCATCCCGTGAATTTATCTAAGAGGCGACAATGGGAAACAAGTCAGGATATGGGCAACCAGCATCTTTCTAGTAACAACTAAAAATAAAAATAAATTGTGGTTTCCTACCCGCTTGTCAAACGTGGCAACCATGGCAATTATCCCAAATAAAATAAAGGCAAATTATGGGAGAAGTCTATATTCAGCAATAGACATTAATAATCTGTAACGGTAACGAGGAATACAATTACAATTACCTACATATACCTAAGCTCGAAGTTGTTGATGATCGTTTACGTGAGATAAATTGACCGACTAATCGAACGACGATAATTTCTCACACAGTATTTCTGAAAACTATTCAAACTATTTCTTCTAGTGGCGATTTCAAGTTTCGTGTTGGTTACATTTTCAAATTAGTTCATTGTTTAGATGTATGTAAGTAATTATATATTCTTCAATACTAAAATACATAAATGTGTTCTTACATTCTTCTTCTTTATCGTTATCATCATCTTTACAGCCCATTACAATTCCGCTGCTAAAAACTCAGAACAATATATAAAGGCGCAGTGTTTACATACTCTTTGGTTGCGTTTTGGCGTTAGATTGCTGCTACCGTTAAATTGTTTAAATAATGGTGTGAAAGTGTGTAATTACTGACACCTGAAGAAGAGCTTCGATGCTGATATAAATCTCAGATTTTTTTTAAATCTACTTAGCGATCTTGAGATATTATCGTCGTCAACTGTACACTTGGTTAAGCTGTTATTATATCTCCCAAATATTTTGCAATGTGACGCATTAGCATGTTGTAAAAATGTTTTGTAAACAAAATACCAATCAGATAAGGATGTATGCTCTTAAGCCCTTGACTACCTTATATGGTGAATCGTAGCAACAGTAACAACTCTTTGGTTTTCACTGTCATATCTGTCCACAAACTAGTAAGAAGTGCTAGTATCTGTCACATGTCAGGAGTTTTGGAGGGAACTTGACGGGCGGCGGTTTGCTGCTCCTGTATTATTGTTTAAATAATGGTTTGAAGTGGACTTTGATATGTAAAAGTGGTGCGATTTTGTGTATTAATTGTCTACGCATATGAACTATTAGTGGAAACAGTGAAACAAGTGCTCTGACGGTGTTGGATTCTCAAGATAAGCTGTTTGTTTGCATAGGCGCCTTTAAATACCATCACCAACTGTCAGCTGTCTGCTGGATCAAGTTGCCGTCAAAATCTCCCAAGAACTGCACAATGTGACGCATCAACATATTGTGAAGCAGTGAACTATGAAGGATAATTACAAAAGACTAGGCTGTATGGCATAGTTCCTTTGCCTGCTCTCTCGAGCGAATAATAAAAACAACATCAGACTGTCATTCTGTCACATTGACATTTGACATTGACAATTGACATAACAATACGAGCGTGAGCATGAAATTCGTAATTTGTATCACAGAATACTTTACTCCTAGATTTGTATATTTATTCACATGATCTACAATTTTTTCACCAACGAATAAACTTTGTTATTAAACACTCAAAAGTGTCATTTTGTATTGTGTAATGTACTAAGTAGTAATATACAAAAAGATAAAAACTTATTGTATCATCAGTTCAAGGATTTTTTCAGGAATTCAATATACTTTTCATCGCAAAGATGTCTGAAAAACCAGTTGTAGCTAGTGGCAATCAACCTATCGTTAAAATAGGTCATTATACCTTAGGTGCCACCCTGGGTGTAGGTACATTTGGTAAAGTTAAAATTGGTGAACACCAACTCACAAAGCATAAAGTTGCTGTAAAGATTTTAAATAGACAAAAAATTAAGTCCCTTGATGTCGTTGGCAAAATAAGGCGTGAAATACAGAATTTAAAATTATTTCGTCACCCCCACATTATTAAACTCTACCAGGTAAGTGTTAATTATCTATAATCTATATAAACAACTTATTGTAATTATTCATAACCATCATCATCATTCCTCCCACAAAAGTGTCAATGACTCTGTGTTTGCTGATATACTGTGGTATATAATATATGTGGTGCTGATATATATTTTAAATGTGCTAGAGCCATGCTACAGCTATTAGAAAAAAAATTAATTGTATAATTGTATAGGGTTGGCTCGACCAGGAAAGGACCACACTCTCATATAATACCAGCGTAAATTAGCAGCTTAATGCTGCTGTGTTTCGTATGGTGAGTATCTAGAACCGGAGACTATTCTTAGAGGAAATGAGGAGTTCCATCTTATTCCTCAAGGCTGACAATGCATCTGCATTTTGATTTGCAAACAAGGATAGATGTAGATGTCTATGGGACACAGCTATCACTTACCATTAGGTGGACTGTGTGCTCGCTTGTCACCCTTATCTAATAAAAAAAATATCAGATTTCTTCTTTAACAATCTTCTTCTTCTTTTTTGTGGTGGTTTGGTAAAATTCACCAATGACGTATTGAATGGAAAATGAAAGCTGATGAATTTAATTAAAATAAGTCTGTGATAGTACAAGAATTTAGTTTTCTTCCTAGAATTTTGACAAATCTATGTTGAATTACCTAGAACAAATGACTAATCTAGTTTGAATTTTATTAGTATTTATAAAGTGACAAAAATTTAAAGTTTTATGTTATTAGTATTAGTAAAATCACATAAAATATACACCAGTCTCAATCAACTGCTAGATAATTCAAGTATATCACTGGTCTTCTAATTTATTAACTTACAAAAATTCCCATTATTCAGCTTATTGAGCAGTTGGGTTAGTTAGTTCAACCTAAACATGATTATTCAAAAGTATTATTGCTTACTTAACCCTTTTGCTGTCCCGTGCACTAAATATAGATAATTGCTATTGTCTTACTATTGTGTCTGAAAACCGGACAGTGAAAGTGTTAAAGATATTATAGTACCTTTTTTGTTCTAACCTTTGATCAACAATCTAAACTAAATAGGGTTGCGATAGTAAAATGTGACCTGCAAGAGAGCTGTTCAGTATTGTATGTGAAAAATGTGATCAGAATAAGGGTTTTTGTGATGATAATGACGATGGTATAGATCTAATGCGGTAACCCAGATACAGAAACAATTTCTATACACCTGGGCTGTATATTGTGTTTGCATGAATATGACCAGTAAACTTACAGCTTAGTAGCTTGACAACTTAAGTGTTTGGAAGTCAGTAGCTTAGCAGTAGTGAAGCTTAGTTTTTATCCGACTTCAAAAATCATCAATCTCAATTTAACTGTATTTGTTCTGTTACCTCAGAACTTTTTTCTAGGTGAACCGATTTTGATGATTCTTTTTTTATTTAAAAGCTGGTGCTCCTCATGTGCTCCCATATAAATTTTTACATGATCTGACCAGTAATTTTTGAATTATCCTTAATAATGGGTATTTAATTGATTTCAACTACATTGATGATGTTCTCATTTTATTTATATTGAAGTCGAATGTACAACATTTTTAATTTTACCACTTGTGTATCCTTGTAATGACTGACATCAGTACAATTCATATTGTTTTTGATCCAAATGTGTTATGCACAAGAAAATCATGCTTCTGGCTCCTGATTTGGAATAGAATCGCCAGTGCCAAAAGCTCTGCACATGTTTACATGTCTGACTAATAGAGTGAATATAGAAAAACCCCAAAGTTATGATGGTGCATTTCAATTTAGTTTATCTATATCTAGAAGTGGATTAAAAAAAAGTTTTTGAAGTACTCTATATTTCTATGGTGTAACATACATCCTTCTTTTTGTCTTATCTTAACTATTAAATTAAATATGGAATGTGAAGTCAAGACGACAAGTTATGTCAATGCCCAATGTATTGTGGTATAGCTATAAGTGATGCTAAACCTAAGAAATAAATGTATTAAATATTTTTCTTTTAGGTCATCTCAACTCCAACAGACATCTTCATGATTATGGAATATGTGTCTGGTGGTGAACTATTTGATTATATTGTGAAGAGAGGCAAGCTTCAGGAACATGAAGCAAGACGGTTTTTTCAACAAATTATCTCAGGAGTAGACTACTGTCATAGGCATATGATTGTCCATCGGGATCTAAAACCTGAGAATCTTCTATTGGATCATAACATGCATGTAAAGATTGCAGACTTTGGATTGTCCAATATGATGATGGATGGTGAATTTTTACGCACTTCATGTGGATCACCAAATTATGCAGCTCCAGAGGTAAATGTGTCATTGAACTCTGTATATAACATCTATATATAATCAATTGCTTTCACGGATACTACTTGCATCATCATTCATTTTATTAATTCTTTTTAATAACAAATTTTATTTTTCATGTAAAAATAAATGCTTTTTAAATGAGTACCATGTATTTTCTTACTTTGACATTTCGACTTCTGGTATATTGCAAATTAACTGTATTAGCAGTATAAACCCTATAGGCTGTAAAGTAAAAAAATAGTATTCCACAAGGACCTTATTTAGGCCCACCTTTATTTTGCTAATACATTGTTTTAAAAGGTTTGCCCCTTAACTTTAATTTTTGATTTTAACTTTCTCATAAAGCATAATTTACTTTTTATGAATTCAATTATTGTATCAATCAAATATAAAAAAATACCAAAAAAAAGATGATACTATTAATTTTTCTTTTGTTGTTTTTCCTCTTACTTGATTGCAAAGTGCAATTTAAAAAGAAAAATTTTTATTGTTTTTTTTTTTTTAATAGAATAAGGGTGACGAATGACAAGCAGTCCACCTGACAAATAGGTAGATGCTGTAGCCAATAGGCTTCTACATCTATCCTCGATTAAGAATGAAAATGCAGATGTTTTGACACCCTTGAGAGAGTTTAGTCCTTCCAAATGAAGCCGACCCAAAAACTTTTACTTGTAAATCATAGATTGTGATTGTAAATACTGATTCTATTTTTACTTTCAACCTCAACTTATTCAAACTATTAAATTTAAAGCATTCAGGTGACGGATGTAAAGTTTATGGTTACAATAATTAATTAATTTGCAAATTTACAGGTTATTTCTGGAAAACTATATGCTGGTCCGGAGGTTGATGTATGGTCCTGTGGTGTAATTCTCTATGCTTTGTTATGCGGCACTCTACCATTTGACGATGAACATGTGCCAACACTCTTCCGGAAGATCAAATCTGGAATATTCCCGATTCCCGAATATTTGAACAAAAGCGTCGTCAGTCTCCTGTGTATGATGCTGCAAGTGGATCCTATGAAAAGAGCAACCATAGAAGATGTTAAAAAACATGAGTGGTTCCAGAAGGATTTACCTGAGTACTTGTTCCCATCACCAGTTGAACAGGTAAGATTATTTGCTTAAATTTTTTTTTCTAATAGTATAATGTAGACCTGCTAATAGAATAATAATAATAATAATAATAAAGAGTTTTATTTGTCTCAATTCACACATGATAGTTAAAATTGTACAAAAAAATTATCACAAACTTATCTAGCAACATACTTAAGTGAAAACATACATTAAAAAAATGAGACAAACTGGCCTGTGACTCAGCTATGTGGTGATTTGCGGTCACCGCTGGTATTCTACCACAGCCAACTTTTAAAAAACACAGTATCTTAACCTTATCTTGGCATTGACGTGAAACAACGTAAAGAAAAGACAAAAATGTATAAACATATGTGCTATGTAAATCGGCAAATTTATATAATATGAAACTTAATACCTGCCTCCAATTTTTGTTGTTCAAGTAACCATACTTTGCATTTCTTTCTAAATGATTTTATATTCACGATCTCCTGTAAAGGAGGAGGTATATTATTCCAAATTTTGGAGGCAGCATATTTGAAACATCCCTTCGCTTTAACACGCTTATAAGTTGGAAGTAATATAATAGTTTACCCCTTTGTCTCAAACGTGTTATTTGACATTTTGGAGATAATTTTTCATATAAATAATGAGGAGATTGCGAATTATTTAACGAGTGTACGAAACAAGCATATTTTAGTTTTCTGGTGTAACCCATATTTAAAATATTATTTTTGAGGAGATAAGGAGTTATGTGGTTAGTCTTAGGTATGTCAAAACAATAACGCATACACGCATTTTGAACCCTTTGTATTCTTCCTATAGTTTTTTGTGAAAGGCAAGGACCATATACCAAGTCGCAATAATGTAAATGTGACAAGACCAGACTGTTGCAAAGACGGAGCCGGATATTTGGTTTTAGAAAAGAACGAATTTTGTAAAGAGATTTTAAAGATCCAAAACATTTTCCTATTTTTTGCTGTACGTGTTGTTCAAACGTTAAACCTTCATCCATGTTAAGGCCTAAGTTACGAATGCAATCATCTCGTGGAATAGTTGTGCCACTGATCATGATAGTTGGATCATTTTTTTTGACTGATGCAACCTGATGACGTGTACCCATAATTATACACGTACTTTTTTTAGGATTCAGTAGTAGGCCATGAGATTTTGACCAAAGCTCTATTAATTTTAGATCATCATTGAGGCTGGTAACTGCTGACGTAATACTGTCGTGTTTTGGTGTCGTATGGACGTACAATTGGGTGTCATCGGCATAAAGGTGATATTTGGAGTGGTGAACTACATTTTTTATGTCTGCTGTGTATATGGCGAAGAGTGTTGGGCCAAGAATGGACCCTTGTATAACACCTTTAGAAATTGATAGGGGCTTCGAAATATCAGCATTACCTTCAATATTGATGCATTTTACTTTTTGACTACGCCCGCAGAAGTAAGACTGAAACCACGAACATGCCGTTTCGGAGAAACCAACGTTTTTTAATTTTCTCAGTAAAAGTGTTATATTAATGCAGTCGAAAGCCCGAGTGAAATCTAGTAGAACTAGAATGGTACCTTGTCCATTATCAGCGGCGGTGAGAATATCGTCCGTTATGTGTAATAATGCTGTAGTTGTACTAAATTTTTGCCGAAAACCCGATTGGAAATCTGGAAGGATGGCATTCTCTTTCAGATAGCTAGTAATTTGTGACTGTGCACACTTCTCAACTATTTTTGACAAGACAGGCAATATACTTATTGGCCTGAGGTCGTCAAAACTGTCTATCTTCTGTTTCTTAGGTAAGGGTGTGATCAATGAGCACTTCCAAACTTCACGACTTCCAGCCTCCCGAACAAGCCGGTTTCCGAAAAGGCTTTAGCACAATATACCACATACATACCCTTCGGCAAATTGTACAGAAGTCCGAGGAGTACAATTTGCCACTATGTCTGGCGTATGTGGACTATGAGAAAGCCTTTGATTCCGTCGAAATTTGGGCGGTGCTGCAGTCCCTTCAGCGATGCCAAGTTGACTGTCGGTATATCGAAGTGTTGAAGTGCTTGTACAGTAGGGCTACGATGGCTATCCGAGTACAGAACCAGAGTACGAAACCTATCCAATTGCAGAGAGGTGTAAGACAGGGTGACGTCATATCCCCGAAACTCTACCGCTGCATTGGAAGATGTTTTCAAGCTTCTGGACTGGAAAGGATACGGTATCAACATCAATGGCGAGTACATCACTCACCTTCGATTTGCCGACGATATAGTCCTTATGGCAGAATCGCTGGAGGACCTAAGCACTATGCTCAATGACCTCAATAGTGTTTCCCAACGAATAGGTCTTAAGATGAACATGGACAAAACAAAGATCATGTTTAATGTCCATGTCACACCTATGCCGGTAGTTGTTGGGAACACTAAGCTCGAAGTTGTTGACGAGTATGTTTACCTGGGACAAATAGTCCGACTAGGTAAGTCCAACTTCGACCGAGAGGTCAATCGACGGATTCAACTCGGTTGGGCAGCGTTCGGGAAATCACGGCACATCTTCTCGTCAGGTATACCTCAAAACTTGAAAACGAGACTGTACACCCAGTGCGTGTTGCCAGTGATGACATACGGAACTGAGACGTGGTCCTTCACTGCTGGCCGGATGAGGAAGCTCAAGGTCGCTCAGCGAGCTATGGAGAGGGCTATGCTCGGAGTTTCTCTGCGTGATAAACTCAGAAATGAGGATATCCGCAGTAGAACTAGAGTGACCGACATAGCCCAACGGATTAGTAAGCTGAAGTGGCAATGGGCCGGCCATATAGCTCGAAGAACCGACAACCGATGGGGAAGAAAGGTTCTCGAGTGGCAGCCTCGTACCGGCAGGCGAAGTGTAGGTCGTCCCCCCACTAGATGGAGTGACGACCTGGTAAGATATGCAGGAAGTCGATGGATGCAGGTGGCTCAGGACCGTGCTTTGTGGCATTCTTTGGGGGAAGCCTATGTTCAGCAGTGGACTTGTGAAGGGCTGTAATGATGATGATGATGATGATGATCACTTAAATCATCATTATGTACTACATCTACCGATATGGGTTCCAGATTAACTCTAGTAAATATGACATCAATAAGTGTCGAAGTAAGCGGCGTGATACGAGTTGGCAAGTTAACAATTTGATGTAGCTTGTAAGAGTCAGTCAGCACTTTGAAACATTTAGGTAGGGTTACCAGATTGTTACGATCTATACAGTTTATATTAATATCACCTACAACAAATATGTGCTCGTATTTAGATCCAAGTACTGATAAAGATTCATGAAGAGAATCAATTGCAATTTCTTGACTTACACACTCAGGACGATATGCAATTCCGATTAATAAACTGTGTCGCTTAGTTTTAATATCAATCCATAATTGTTCTAGTATGGACTCGGGGTGATTAAGTTGTTTTACACGCATATTGGACCTCACATATATACCTACAGCGCCACCACGACCACAACGTGGCTTATGTATAGATTATAGCTAGAAATAGTGTAAGCACCAATATCAGAGTCAGTTTTTAGCCATGTTTCGGTTAGACAGACGACATCAAAGTTAGCCAACCGAAATGACGCCACAAATTCATCCCAGCCTGTATTAAGCGAATGAACATTTAACAAACCTATAGTAAACTGTCTAATTTTGTTTTGTGAATTGAATTTGACTATTTTTATGTACGTGACATTGATAGTTAGACAAATAAAAATACTGTAGTCTACACCGAGTTAGAACCCAATTTTTTTAAAATATCTTTGTTAGCAATATGAATACACTCAGATTTTTCTGTTATCCGCACAAAATTTTTTCCATTTTTGGCCCAGACAAACCTGAAGCCCAGTTCTTTTGCACGGGCCCTTGTTGCAGCATGCAGTTCTTTGTTATCCGCGGTCAGATGTTCTACTATGAAAATCGGTTTTGGTGGATCAGATGAAATTCCTAGTAGGCTAGTGTTGAGTTTACTCTTACTTTCTTTGTTATATTTGCTAGCACTGGCAATGAAAGAATCACGTATACGCTGGTTATTAAATCTTACTAGCACATATCTTGAGAAATTCTTGTCTATAAGGAGTTTCACTTCTTTAATCTTGATTTTAGTCATAAAACTTGCGCTGCAAGTGAATACTATATTAATCTAACTCTGAAGACTTCATAATTTGACGAATATATTAATATTTGTATTTTCCGTAAACCGCAACGCGATCACCAACATCCTGTAACAAGCAAATATTTCAGCAGGATAGCAGCGTGATAGACACGGAAGCAATAACAGAGGTGTGCGAAAAGTTCGGCGTGAAGGAACACGAAGTCCACAATGCTTTATTGAGTGGCGATCCACACGATCAGCTTGCTATCGCCTACCATCTCATCATCGATAACAAGAGGATAGCCGACGAAGCAGCTAAAGCTGAAATCAAAGACTTTTATGTTGCCAGTAAGTATGTGTTGATTTAACAATTTAAGGTTTTCGTAAGTAGAAAATAATATTATAACGTGATACAGCTTTATTTATTTAAGTTTTATCACAATAAATGTATTCAATAAATCTCCCTATATAGCAAAAAGAAAACTTCGATATTCTTAACTTTGGTCTATGTGATATAATTGTTCACGAGAACAAGCCCTCAAGTCACAGAACGGTATTCCTAAGTACAGCATCTTAAGGAGCTAATCTTGATAACTGAGATACTGTTTTTATGTGTTTATTAATTAGCAACGATCTAGACACGTTGATATCGTAATGATAACGCACTTGAGTTCATTTTTGAGTAACGTTTATTAATATGTTCCTAAAAGTATTTCACGGAGCTTCTGATTATTCTGACAACGAGATAATAACTTATACAAGTCTATTTTTATTATGTATTGTGACAGAACTTGATGTGGTTCGGGCCTTCGGGCTTATATTGTTTTCCCGGAGCCTTGTCACAGAGGTCTTGTGAAACACCAGAGCCCCATGGAGCATATTTTGAGAATGACTGCATTTATACTTATGTACAGGCAGCTCTCCACCCGCCGCTATAACGGAAACTGCGCGGCCTCATCCAGAAAGAATCGTGCCACTGCGCGTTAAGGATTCGCCCGCTACTCAGCCTACTCACGACAAACAGCGAGGCACACCCGTCAAAAGGTAATACAGAGAGTGTTACGGCTCTCAGTTTCCCAGACAGAAGTCGACTGTATTAGGGCCCATCAGTAATACACACGACGAGCAACCAGAGAGTTCGGGCCCAAATGGCCTTATGGAAAATGTCCTATCCCACTACACAAAAGGGAGGAGGCTAGGTGAATTAATAGCACGTACCTGTTCGCTGGTGAAGAAGGCTCCCAGGGCTCGTTCTGGGGTAATTGTCGTGAATGTGAATGGTGTGTTAGAAGTGTAAATTTGTGTAACCGGAACTAGCCCTTTGGTTTTAATCAGCAGCCACACTGACTCCGGCGCCTCCCTCCGACGTGGTCTTCTCCAGCGGCGGCAGCAGTGGACTATTTCCTTCTTCAATTCACTATGTCAGTCTATTAACTTTATCGTACATTTAACTAACGTCAAGACGCAACTAAATCCCGTTAATTATAAAGCGTAACACGCGGCACGACTGGTGGGTCAAAGTTCACTTTCTTTCACTGCGCAACAATAGTTTCGAAAACCGACCGCGACTTTTTAAGGCGCAACGGTACAATTAAACACTAACTTCTCAATAATTAGACAACCGGGAATCTAATGTTCTAGACAACGCGATTATTCGTCGCTGCACAAATTCGTTGACAAAATCGGCGCCACGCGGCTCGATTCGAATCACAGCTAGCAATGCTCGGCGGCCGCTTGACGACACATACCGGATCTCCCCCGCGCTCAGCGCGGGCGGGGGGGCTCCTGCCCGACGCGTGCTCGCCGGCTAAGTACATTGACAAAGCGCGCTAACGCGCCTGCTTTATAGTAATTTTGAATTTTAGCGTTTGGCGCAAACAGAGAGGGAGAAAGCTATTTGAACGAATCACTTTCACCGACATTTTTTTTTATTCAGTAATTAATTTATTCCTATATTATAAATAATATACAGTCTATATTCACGCATTCACTGGCTTCAGAAAATGCTTGAATTTAGAACACTTAATTTTAAGTGGCTACTGCAGCTCATGTACACCTCCAGCCAACTTCAAATAAGAAAGGCTACAGATGTGTTGTCTGTCATCTCTGAGGACTAAGATGGGATGCCTTACAGCCGGTCAGACCGAAACCCAGCAGTGTAGGCATTGCTATATGACGGCAGATGTAGGTAAGAAGGTGTGGGCCTACCCTGACAGCTACGAGGCAAATAACTATTTCTCTGTCGCGTGCACTACATATAAGCCATTGCTATTGTGTCTGAAAACTGGACAGTGAGTTTTAAATAAAATATTTAAAAAACCCTCGAAACAAAAAGAGCTGGTGATCTTCAAACGGCTGAACAGATTTTCTAGAAACATAGTTAAGAACACTCGATTAAGACACCTTTCAAACGAAAAAAACTTAATCAAAATCATGGGGTTGTTATAAACTAATTTGCTTGATTCCGCGTAAAGAAAGAAAATGATGTGACCTGCCCAGTTTTCCTCAAGTAAGCTAAGCGGCCAGCCTCCGCAGTCTACTTCACCTGAGGATGCCTCGTGTAGAGGCGAAACACGTGTCGTATTTTCGAGATGGTGTGTCGTGCCTAGTGTGGTGGTGCTGCGGGTGGTAGTGCTGGCATTGACGGTGACGGGTATAGTGCGCGCGACAGAGGGAGGGTGGGAGGTCCCCTTAAAACTGGGCAAGACACATCATTTTCTTTCTTTACGCGGAATTAAGCAAATTAGTTTATAACAACCCCGTTATAATGGATTTCCGCAAATTAACGCATGATTCTATTAATTAATAAAAAATTTTTTTACTGGCTTTACGGCTCTGGGTTCTAGCCCTTCTGAGCCTGAAGTTACAATGTATAGTTATCCTTCATAGTACACTGTTTCACAATATGTTGATGCGTCACATTGTGCAGCCCTTAGGAGGTTTTGACGGCAACTTGAGCCAGCAGACAGCTAACAGTTAGCGTTGGTATCTCAAGGCGTCTATGCAGACAGACACCTTATTTAGAGAATCACATCACCATCAAAGCACTTTTTTCACCGTTTCCACTAATAGTTCACATGCGCAGACAGTTAATACACAAAATCGCACCATTTTTCCATATCAAAATCCACTTCAAACCATTATTTAAACAATAATACAGGAGCAGCAATCCGTCGCCGGTCAAGTTCTTGCCAAAACTCCTTCATCCGTTCATGAGCTATGATGCCACAGGCAGATACATAGATACACAGATGCACACTACAAACATATAACACCCCTCTGTTTTCGTTGGGAGTTAATAAAAAAAATCCTAACACCTAGTAAAAGTAATATTATATTAATTTCTTCCTTACCTTTCAGATAAATATCAATTAAAATACCTAACTATCTACATTAAACTTTAGGAAATGAATGTGTATATCTGCCTTACAAGAACAAGTAACATAGAGAACATCTTATATTCATTTACTTTTTTACTGTTTTTACACAGAGCGAAATGGCACCTGGGCATCAGATCTCAGAGCAAGCCTAACGATATTATGCTTGAAGTTTTCCGTGCCATGAAAGCCCTCGACTACGAATGGAAAGTCATTAATCCCTACCACGTAAGGTATGTATGGTGTCTTTTTGACCATTCTTGACAAAAGATGATTGTAATCATAGCCAAAAAAATATTAAAAAAAGTCTACTATTCTCTTTCAAAATCAAAATCAAAATATTGTATTATTCATAATTATTATAAACTTATAGGGGAACTAGTATGAAATTATAGGGTAATTTTTCTTCTTTAAAAAAGTCATTTTAAGAAAGGGTAAATATAAAAAAAAAATATCTTAGTACACTTTGAATAATTACACTGAGTAAATCAGTGTACTGTTTGCAGAACCATAGTTCTTTTTTTATAAAACTGAAGTAACAAACCAGCTTATAGACCACCTTAATGATGGTAAGTGGCTACTGGCTACTACATAGGCTCCCCCCCCCCCCGCCCCTCCCCCCAAACTACCTACTGCCTATGCCTACCTGCCTCACGGAGGCAAGGACGGATTATGTCAGAATCGCACCGGCTAAAACCTCATGGTGTTCCGCTCTCGCCTAGCCCACTCGAGATTAGTGTGGGCCACCTCGGGCCAGCCAAATTTTTTTTTATAGGATCGGGTGACAAACGAGCACACAGTCCACCTGATGGTAAGTGGTTGCTGTGGCCCATAGACATCTACATTTATCCTCGTTTGCGAATCAAAATGTAGATGCGTTGTCACCCGTGAGGACTAGGATGGAATGCCTCATTTCCAGTAAAAAGGGCCTCCGGCCACCTGCACTCACCAAGCGAAACGCAGAGGTAAACCTCTACTTTACGCTGGTATTCTGTGAGGTCGTGGTACCACCCCGGTTCGAGCCGGCCCATCCGTGGTACAGCAAAAGCTGCCGCCTGGCTCTACCACTGTACCAAATTGGTTGTGTGCGACGAAGCCCACCGCCACGACAAGGCGTGACCCGAGGGAGTCCATGGATACCTGCAGCCAACTTTATACACTTCACCCTTTTCAGAGTACGAACATTGAACAAAATGACAGAGAAATACGTTAAAATGTCACTGCAACTGTATCAAGTAGACTACAAATCTTACTTGCTGGACTTCAAGTCCCTCTCCGGTGAGAAGGAGGACTCGGATGAGGAAGGGACGTCACCGATGGTGTCCGCCCCTCCGCCAAACCCCGCCACCGCCCCAACGCAACCTCAGGGACATCACACCATGGAGTTTTTCGAAATGTGCGCCGCTCTTATAATCCAACTAGCTCGATAATGAAATGTAAATTAAAAAAAAAACCCAAAAAATATTTATTGAAAACTATATTTTCCTGTTACACGCTTAAATTATTCGACGCCATATTGTTATTAAAAAAAGGTGTGTTTTTATTAGATGTATATTAAATATAGTTGTTAGACCGAAGTAGAACTAGTGTTCCACTTAAAAGCATCATATAAGCAAGTTTAGTTTTAATAGTCAATTGATCATCAACCTTCTTCCTCGTTCTTACATCTGTATGAAATAAGATAATGGATTTACGTCTGACATAGCTCACCGGTTTTGAAAGCTGTAGTGACAATGGGCTCGCCATATTGAGATAAAAATATTAACTTAGTCTTGTATCGAGAAGTAAATTGTTTGCAGGTTGATAATGAGAACAATGTTCAATGGAACAAAACACCTAGTCGCGAAAGCTGACTTTATTCACCTAAAGCAATGTTTCCATGTACTCTAATAAGGTAGTTGACAAAATAAGATGTATTTAATAGTAGTAGTTTATATTTTTGAAGTTATACTTCTTTTGGAGCGTTTGGGAAAAATGATGAGAGTGAATTTTTACGATGCGCGCGCACACCGACACCTAAAAGCGACAACTTCAATGGGTAATTGTCTCTCAAGTATTTTTTTGTTTTGTTACGCTAAAGAAGTATAACTTCCTACGTGCGTGCATAAGTACACACACATCTTTTTTATTACTGTGGCAACTTCCCACAAATAGCGAGTAGCAAAATTTAAATTATACCGTTACTGAACTGATTCCATAGATTGCCTCAAAGGTGCGATATTGGCCATAGTTGCCAAACTTGGCAAGCGGGTTGGCAACCGCGGTTTTTTTTATTTTTAGTCGTTATAACAAAGACGCTGCTGCCCATCTCCTGATTTGTTTCCCTCTGCCGCTTCTTACGACACCCACGGGATGATATAGGGTAGTGAATATTCTTACTCCGTATTTACACGTCACAAACAATATAAAGTATATTATATACTATATAAAGTGATTTATTTTTAGTAGTATTAGACCCTTTTTACCGGAAACGGGGCATTCTGTCTTAGTCGAGATAAAATAGTAGTGATAATTTATCTGCATTTTGATTTTTAGTCGGGGATAAATGTAGATGTCTATGGGCCACACCATCCGCTCACCATCAGGTGGACAGTGTTCTCGTTTGTCATCCTTATTCTATAAAAAAGAGTATTGGCTGTGGTCAAACACCAGATAAGTGCAAACAACAATACATATTTGTTTGTATTATCCTTTTTTGTTATATTTTAACGTGCAAGGAAGGCAGAAGTCTTAGCCCATACAGACAAGAACCTGAATAAAATGCTTTATGTGTGGAATATATATGAGTATTTGTTTAATTTATTTTGCCAACTTTAACAACAAAATACATGTTTTTTCTACACATCTAAGGCACAGTACCTTTCGAATAATATAACATTCATTCCTCTCTAAAAAAGTACTCTCTCTACTAAAAAAGTACTTCAATTATAGATGTTTACGTAATAAAATAACAGTGTCAACTACCCAATGCCATTGCAGCACAATAGTTTTTAAATTTTCGTATACTAGCTAAGAAAACGACGTATATATACGCATTGCGTTATCTATTCGCCGTTTCAGTAAGTTTTGCAATATTAAATATTAGATGTAAGAAATGTATAAAATGAAAAATAACACCAATTTAAATAATGATAATATTTACAGCATGTTGTTTAATGATGATTGTTGAAGCAATAATGTTTATAATATAAGTAGTTATAGAAACGGTTATTTCCTGTGTTCTATGAATTGAATGCAGGCTTTTGATAATTTAATTAAGGTGAAAGCTCCAGGGTGGCCCGCGAAATTCAAATTTTCTTACGTTTTTTGCAATTTGTAAGCCAGTATCAGGTTCTATGTTTAATAAAATATGATTCGCGACCGTGACGAGTATGTATTTACAGAATTATAATCATTATAATCATCAATACAACCCTCCAAGTTCGTATAATCCTATTGTATGGCTATTTCCAGAAAAACTCATTCAAAGGAATTATATGAACTTGTAAGGTTGTATTGGTGATTTTAATGATAATAATTCTGTAAACACATACTCGTTACGGTCGCGAATCATATTTTGTTAAACATTCAACCTGGCCCTGACCTGCAAAGTTCAGAAAACGTAAGAAAATTTGAATTTCGCGGGCCACACTGGAGCTTTCACCTTAAGTCAAAATCTTTAAAGCTTTATATTATAGATTTTCGACTTAGCGCTGTTTATGTTATAAGATAAGACATGCTCGATATAATTTGACAATAGCTAGGAGGAACGTTTTATAATAGTAGTTGCGTGTGGTTCATGCATGAATATTGACTTCGTTTATTATATATTGTTTATTATAAACAAAGTCAATACTTTGTTTATTGTTACCAGATATTCAAAATTAATATACGCTTAACTTGTGAACAATGCAATTAATTAAAACTCACTTCTAAACTACATAACTTTCGTTAGGTCAAATGCCTTATAGTTTAACCCATATTATTAATGATTAGTACACCTTTGATGGCTGCTTCCCGTCGCGGCTCTGGGGATCATCTTTATATATAAAAATTACGTGTCACATTGTTTGTCCGCGATGAACTCCTAAACTACTGAACTGATTTTAATGAAATTTTGCACACTCTGTGCAGTTTGGTCCAACTTGAGAGATAGGATAGTTTTTATCCTGATAAGTGACACTCAATATTTTTTTTATTACGAATACAAGGATTTTTTTGTATATGAAGGGTCGTCGAAAAGGGCAGAACAAAGTCTGCCTGGCCAGCTAGTATAATATGTAAGATTTTCTGAGTCTTTCTTTAAATCATGTCTTTCGACACCCACGGGACGAGAGATGATGGTTTTGCCTATGTTACCACTTTAGAGCGCTTTTTTTTTTGAATACTTACGTTCCTTTTAATTTAAAGGCTCAATGGTTAGTTGTAAAAAGTTAATATGGTACAAGGTAATCATGTTTCTCAGCGTCTAGCTTTCTGCTTATAATGCGAAGTTTCATAAATTTGCCTTCATATAAACTTAGATGCGTTTATAACATTACGCCACAAATTAGCATCATTGTACCATTAAAGTAATATTTATAAGTACATTATACTTCAATGCATCAAATAGGCTAGATATTTCTAAAATTTTTTTAGTTATTTCATGTAAATATGTATATATAAGTCATGAAAAATCGTTTAATAATTGAAAAACTTTTAATGAAATAATTTGCTATTTCAAAGAAATTGTTTCGATATTTTTGTTGTTATGCTATCCTTAAAGACATAAGACATTTATTAAATGCGAAATTAGATTGTACTTTACGATTATTATTTTTTTTAAATATTTATTGGCATGCTACTTTATACAAAATGTAAATATTTGCAGTATTATTAATCTTTATGTAAAATAATATGCAGTGTAATTTTTAATGAATACATAATTCATTAAAAATGTGCTGCAAAGTTTTGTAAATAAAAAATTAATATAAGGATTTATTCAAGCTTCCTACTTACCAAAGAGAACAACAAATAAGTGCCTTGTATAAGCGTGCTTCAGAAAGCACGTAAAGTGCGCCTGATCTCTCTCCGGTCGTGTCGTATTGCCGTCCCATCGGACTACGAGAGTGAGGGTATGGAGAGTGCTACTGTGCTTGCAGCACTCACGTTCATAATCCTGTCCTGCGTAAATAAGCTAGTCTCTGTTGAGATTTGCTGCTGTGACCGAAATTCGGTCTATTATTATTTATTGTCTACAACACGTTTTATCGTCTGGCGCTACCGTCGCTGCTTTGCATTGCGACACTGCATCGATCGTGTGGCACCGGGGCAAAATCATTAGTAATTACAGATGTTTGTGTTGTTAACCAAGTGGCTTTTACAGCTTTATCGGACTTAGGATAGGCTAGCTCCGTAACACATTGTCTGGTTTCTCTAGTGTGAGTTAATTTATAGGTGTTCGGTAGACTTCGCGTTCGTGACTAGTAAAGTATATTCTAAATTTTATAATTCACTTTTGCTCGTAGTTTTAGATATTATTTAAGTTTCATTAAAAGTGTATATTAAAACTCAATAAACTTAAGAACTATTTTAAAGTGTAGTTTTATTTTGATTTGGTCGTGTTCGTGTGGTGATTTTTCGTAGGCTCTGCCATATAGTGGCGGTGTAACGGAATCCACTATAACTACTGTACCTCTATTATCATCCCATGGGTGTCGTAAGCGACAACAGAGAGAAATTGAAACATGAGATGGCTAGCAGCCTTTTTCTAACTCTAACTCAATGAAAATTACGCTTGCCAACCCATCAGCCAAACGTGGCAAATATCCCGTCTATGAGACAATATGTGGGAGAGGTCTATGTTTAGCATACAGACTAGCGACATTTCACTGGCGAGCCATCGACAAATGACTAACTTGTCATTTGGCTGCTGAATAGCACAGGAAATATTGCGTTTTTTAAAAGCAATGAATTTGGTGATATAACTTTCAAAAACTATGGCCAGAGGTCGGCAACTTGCGGCTCGCGAGCCACATGCGGCTCTTTGGGTGTGAAGCTACGGCTCTTTAGTTTCATACGTAAATATTATTTATTTTATTTAAAAAAATCAATCCACACTGAGCTATTTGGAGTTGATACTGGATCTCGAGAAATTCAATTCAATTTTTTTCAATTCCAGAAATCCAATTGATCGATTTAAAAAGTAAAGCTTTGTGGAGTTGAAAAGCAAGTTGAAAGAGTTGGAGGTCCAGAAATGTATGTACGTAACGCAACAAAAATGAACAGTTTTAAAAGAAATGCCGCGAGTTGAAACACTTATATTCGACGCATTTTTTATATAGAATAAGGGTGACAAACGAGCGCACAGTCCACCTGATGATAAGAGGTTGCTGTGGGCCATAGACATTTACATCTATCTTCGTTTGCGAATTAAAATGCAGATGCGTTGTCAGCCGTGAGGGCTAAGATA